AGTTTGCCCAGCAGCTGTGCATAGGGTTGCTATAAGTCGGAGGCGACTTGGTGGCACATAAAACAAGGGAGTTGGAAAAGAGCAAGTAACAGGCTCATGAAGATTTGGAGTAGAATAGAATATAATTTACTGATGGACTGCATGAGGGAAAGGATGATTTTAAGATTTTGGTGCATTTGGAAGGCTGGTGATGATTTGTAAGGCAGAGTGTCTATACAGTTCAGTACAATGCTCAACTATGCAGTTGGACACCTATGACTGGAACTCCGGGAAGAGATCCTGGATAGGGAAACATACCTGGCAGTCAGGGGTTAGAAATGCTCATCAGAACCATGGGACTAGACGAGATCACCTAGAAAAGGAGTGTTTATAATTAGAGATGAGGGCTTAATATTGGGCCCTGCAGCTCTATAATACTTAAAAGTTGGATGGAAGAGGCAGTAAATGAACCCTAGAAAGAATTTCAAGTGAGACAAGAGGAAAACCAGGAGAATATGGTCTTATGGAAGCCAATATAGGATAAAGTGTTTCAAGAATGTTTAATTGTATTGAATGCTGCTAAGAAGACCAGTAAGAATTGGACACAGAAATATGAATTGGTCTTGGCCCAATGGAGGATGTAGGTGACCTTGAGAAGAGAATTTTCTTAGAATGGTGCGGACACAGGCTAAACTAGAGTGCAACTGGGGAATAAGGGAAGGCATGGGGATAATATATACAAACAACTCTTTTGAGAAGTTTTGCTCTCAAGGGAAGCACAGAAAGCAAGAATAGCCTGAGGGCAATGTGGAGTCAAGGCAGGACTTGAAGCTGTTCTCAGACTAGGTATGCACCCAGTGGGGAAGAGACTGATGGTGCAGAAGGGTTTGAATGCTGAACCAATGTCCCTAAGAAGGTGAGAGAGGCAGAAATCCAAAGCCACATGAAGGGTTAGCCTTTGATGGCAGCAGGGAAATAGAGTATACTTGCAGATGTAGTAGGTTGCTTTGTAGATCTAATGGAAAATGAGTCATCAGGAGTGCATATTTTGATCCAATGAGTTATCTCTGTTCCAGAACATAAAAGATGATAAGTTCTAGACTTTGCCTTCACAAATGTCTTTTAATTGACTTGAAAGCTATTTTTTTTTAAAGTATTTCAAATGGAAAAAACACAACAAAAAAAGCAAACCTCTATTCTCTTTATAAAATAATAAAATCTGCCTCAAATTACTTTTATTTTCAGTTTCATGGTTTACATTGTATTTCTGATTTCCTCCATTAACTGCCATTGGTATTAAAAAGGATTTTTGCTCACTTACAAGTAATTGTAAGAACTGCTGTCAAAGGCTATACTGCTTGGTAGTCCCCAAGGGCAGCATGGCCAAAAGGGATAACGTAATACTCAGTTGGAAGAATCTGAGAGAAACAATGGAAATATGGACTAGGTATCAGGAACTCCAAGACACCATATGACCCTGTGGGAAAGCTTCCCCTAAGGAAAGTGACAGAAAAGCCATCACTTTGATGGGTTGAAACACAACTGTAAAAGGCACTACAAACATATTAGAGGGACCACTCCTGTAGAAAGCCCCAGAGAAGCTCATTACATGGCCAAAGAGATCTTATCTCTACTTTTTCTCATTCTAAAATTACATTATATTTCCAGAAAAAGCACTTTAGAGTTGAAGAAAAAAGAAGGGCATAGAGTTTCCATGTAAAAACATACATGTATTTCTTGGCTTTAGAATAGTGAAATAAATAAAATAGTAAATTAATTAAAAATTAATTCCATGTCAGAAAATCAAAATGTCAGAGATTATAGAGATTATAAAAGGTTAAATAAACCATTGATAAAGCTAGATAGAACACAGAATTTATGGGGAACAAAGTATTGTGGTATGGTAATTGTCACAGTATCACTACTCAGCAAATAAATATACAATCAATAATTTATCTTGCATTTGTTGAATACTTACTCTGTGCTTAGATATTAATCAAAATATATTTGTCTGAAAAATTCAAGAGAAGCAAGCTTCCTAATGGTTTTCTGATTTATTTGGCACAGAAGTCATTTAATGTCAATGATTTCCTTAACCTCAAGATGGAAAAAATGTTTCTTATAATATTTAAATACCAAGTGACTAAGTATGTCGCTTAAAAGTGAATGCATTATACCAAAAGCACAGATAAACAGGACTACGTCAAAATTAAAAAAATTTTTGTTCTTTAAGTGATTCATCAAGATACCCATAGAATAGGAGAAACTATTTGCAAATCCTATATCTATTAGGGAGCTCAGGTGGTGTAGTGCCTAAGGCATTTGACTGCTAACCAGAAGACTGGCATTTCAAACCCACCAGCCACTCCTCGGAAGGAAGGTTGGGCAATGTGTTTGGTTTTTTTGGTTTGTATATCTAATAAGGGGCTGGAATCCAGAATATATAAAGAATTCCTACAACTCAACAACAAAAAGCAAAACAATCCAATTAAAAAATGGCCAAAAGACTTAACTAGACACTTCTCTAAAGAAGATATGCAGATAGCCAATAAGCACATAAGATGTTCAACATCATTAGTCATTAGGGAAATGCAAACCAAAACTACAATGAGATATCACTTCACATCCACTAGGATAAAAAAGGATAGAAAATAGTAAGTGTTGACAAGAATATGGAGAAATTGGGTCTTTCTGGTGGGAATGTAAAATGGTGCAGGCAATTTAGAAAACAGTTTGTTACTTCCTCAAAAAGTTAAACAAAGAGTTACCATATGGCGCAGCAATTCTACTCCTAGGTGTATAGACCAGCAAAATGAAAACATACATCTACACAAAACTTTTACACAAATATTCATAGCAGTATTATTCATAATAGCTAACAGGTGGAAATAATGCAAATGTCCATTAAACGGTGAATGGATAAATGGGATACATATAAGTAGTATCATTCAGCCATAAAAATAAATACAAATAGATGCTGCGACATGAATGAAGCTTGAAAACGTTTTGCTAAGTGAAAGAAGCTGACACAAGAGGCCATGTATTGTATGCTTCCATTTATTCAAAATGTCTAGAAAACACAAATCTAATAGAGACAAAAAGTAGATTTGTGGTTGCCTGGGACTGGTTCTGTGGTTAAAGCTGATAACCAAAAGGTTGGGAGTTTGAACCTATCAGCCGCTCCATGGGAGATATAGAGGCAGTCTGCTTCTATAAAGATTTACAGCTTGGAAACCCTATGGGGCAGAGTTCTACTATGTCATATAGGGTTGCTTTGAGTAGAAATCCACTCCAAGGCAGTGAGTTTGGTTTTGGCACTGGGAGGGAGGGTGGAAATGGGAGTGACTGCTAATGAGTATGGGGTTTCTGTTTGCAGTGATGAAAATATTCTAAATGTAGATTGCAACAATGGTTGCATAACTCTGTGAATATATTCACAGAGTGAATTGTATAGTTATGTGATAGCTGCATAACTATGTTTTTTTTTTTTTTAAATATTACTCCATCCACGTCATTAAGGTCCACTCTACTTTGAGGCAGCAGCTCTTCCCCAGTCGTGTTTGGAGTGTGTTCTGACCTGAGAGGCTCATCTTTCAGCACTATATCAGACTGTCTCACTGCTATTCATAAGGTTTTCAGTGGCCAATTTTTTCACAAGTGGATGGCCCCATCCTTCTTCCCAGTCTGTCTTAGTCTGGAAGCTCCACTGAAACCTGTCCACCATGGGTGACCTGCTGGCATTTGAAATACTAGTGGCTTAGATTTTAGCCTCACAGAAACACGCAAGCCACCACAGTATGACAAACTGACAGACGAGTGATGGTAAAATATCATACTATCATATATTGTATAACTCACATTATAGTATCAATTAGTAATATAATTATATATTAATACTATAAAATAATATATAAAAACATATTAACATTAATGTCATCCTACATCCGAACTCTTGCTTACATAGAATTTCTTTTCCTGAGAGAATATTCTAAGGCCCCAGTGGTCTAATTTTACTTACAAATTCCTTACATATGTAGCATATGTAGCAAAGGAATTGTAACTCTTAATTCTGAAATGCAATCTTTAAGATTATAGTTCTGTAAGCCATCCAATATGGTATATTCTTTGTATATGGTGAAATCTCTAATTTAATGATACTGTTACTTTGTACATTGATGTGTATGTTAGAAAACATTTGTATCCTTGTCCAGTCGAAGATGATTTCTTTCCAATGACTACAAATATCTTTCTTGTACACGTATGTGCAGTTCAAATTTTTTTTCTCTCATCCACGTATACTTTCAATTTTTACCATCACTTTTTAACACATACAAGCAGAAATTATCTCTTTGAAATGCCAAGTAAAACAATTAATCGAAGCTCTACTTATGTTAGCATTTTCTTCTAATTGGGCTTGCTTTCAGGAGGTGGAAAATGTAGAAAGAAATTTTTCAGAATATGAACGGTTAATATGTTAGATAACATTCTTTCAAAAAAGACGTTTTCGTTTACTTGGTTTAGGGGGCAGAGGCGGAGAGATGAAGCATTTCTCAATAAAAAGCAAAAGTGACTGGGAACAACATAGACACTGCGGGAACCCGGTGGCGTCCGTCCCCTCGGGCCGATCTTCCATGGTGTCTGTTCGGGTGCTGTCCTACTGCAGCCACATGCAGCCTCCTCCATCGTCTGTCAGTGTCCTTCCTGGCGTGCGCAACCCTCTGCCTACCCTCGGGAGCCTACCTGGGCCTGGCCGCGGTGCCTGTCGCCCCCGCGCGGTCGCTATGGCGCCGCATCGCCCCGCCCCCGCCGCGCAGCCCCGCCCGCCCGCAGTCTTCTCGCCCCTCCCCCCCGCCAAGCACTGGTGCGGGGGAAAGGGCGGGAGCGGGGGCGGGGAGGGGGCGCAGAGAATCGGAAATCGGCGGCGCGACGCCCACGGCCTATTGGCTATTTCGTTCTGGAGCTAGCAGCCCCGCCTCCCTGATGGGAATCACGTGATCCTTTTCAAAGATGGCCGCCCTGTTGTTTTGATGAATAATACTTGGTGGGGCGAGGGGGTAAAAGTAAGGGTGGAGAGGTAGGAGGATTTACTCTTCCAGCGAGAGGCATCGCGAGTTCTGTCCTCCCCCTCCCCCTGCTCGGGCTCCGGCGTGGAGGCGGGGCGTGGCCGGCCTGCTTTGGGAGGGGAGGGGCTTTCCTCCTCAGTGCTGGGCTGTGTCTGGGTGGTTCTGGGGTCGCCTTACCTCGGGGCACCCACTCTGCAGTCGAACAGTTCCCGCCAGGGGCGAAAGGTAGGAAGGATAGCAGGATCTGCTGGAGAAAACGCAGCTGCCGCGCCACCACCACGAAGACCTAGCAAGCTCGGAGCACGAGACGAGCTGGAGACTGGGATCCCTAGTGTGGACAACCTAGGAAGCAGAGGGTAGTAAGTGGCGCCTTAAGATAACCTTGTAGCAGCAGCAGTGGCGGCCAAAGAAGGCTGCTCAGGCAAAAGCAGCTGTAGGAGGCTCTGAGGCGATTGGAGTGACTAAAGCCAAGGCAGTTCAGTGCCTCTCGTGTTCTTATTTTTTAACCTCTGACTATGCAATTCTGAAACCTCCCCCATTCGGGGGACCAGACAGCTCGATAGACACTTTCCACTCTCCTCTCCTCCCGCCCTGCTCTCGAGAACAGAAGGATCTTTCCCTAACGTCTTTCATCATTAAGAGGAAAGCGATGGAGGAGCTGAGCGCTGATGAGGTGAGGAGGTTGGGGGACACCTTGGGGGAGTAGTTGGCAACTCTTTGGCGCTTTGGACAAAGCTGATACTGCACCAGTGGTGTTTGGCCTTCGAGCTTGGGGAAGGAATGGAGATGACATTTCAAAGAATAAAATGACTCCCTAAGAGATTCTTGCGTTATTCTTCCTTGCTTTATTTTTCCATTTGCTGCTTTTCGAATCTTTTAGGGTCTGAAGAAGAGAGCATCTTGAGGTGTTCATTCTTTTCTTCAGGGTATTCAAGCAAGAAGGGCTAGATTTACATCAAGTTAAGTAACACACATGTTACTGCAGGGCTTTAAAGGATAATTTTGGATGGAATCAGAGTAATGGTTGATGTATGTTTTAAAGGAAGTATTTGAAATTCGGAGGATGTGTGGCCATAAATTGTGTCAGTTGATTAAACATACCTTTGTGTTTGAGGATGGCCTACAGGTTTGATATTTAACTAAATTTGTATCTTCTCAACAGTTTAGAGAAGTCTGGTTAAATTCTAAAGAGACTACTTTTGACTTCTGGCATACTTTGCTTTCATTCTACCTTTCCCTACTTCTTGACTCTTTCAAACTTGTGTTTTGCTGTGGCAGAGACTACACTGGGAGGCAAATGACTTTGTAAATTCTCCCCTGTTCTCATTTCTGAAAGGAGTCATACACATCCTCTTCTTGATGTTTTAAAGATTGTTTAATAAGATTGTCATAAAAACAGTAGCAATTAGGGTACAAGGAATTTCCTGTAATTATACTGATTTTTCCCTTCCTTCTTGCAAATTTGAGCTTCCCTTTCAGGACCCCTGCTGACCTTACCCTCTTTAACTGGACTCATTTCTTCCACTGGTCATATAAAACTTCCCTAAAGTATTATGAAACAGTCATCCATCTGGTTGGTTGTACTGTAAGACTTCCATGCTCAAGTGTTAGCTACAGAATAGTCAGTGTGTTTACTTGGGGACTAAAATTCTCCAGGGATGGGGCATACGAAAACCAAAAACCAAACCTACTGCCGGCCAGGGGATTCCGACTCATAATGACCTTGTAGGACAGGCTAGAACTGCCCCATAGGGTTTCCAAGACTGTAAATCTTTAGGGAAGCCGACTGTCTTACTTTTCTCTCGCAGAGCAGCTGATGGGTTTGAACTGCCCACGTTTTGGTTAGTAGCCAAGCACTTAACCACTGCGCCGCCAGGGCTCTTAGGGCATACAAATGATGGGTTAAGGGTCAGGTTAGAAAGGAAGGAAATTATTTTGTTAGTTGTGATACTTGATTGTCTGCAAAGTCAAGATTCCCCATTCTGTGTTACTGATTTTGCTTTCCTCAAATACATCAGGAATGTAATCTTCAATTACAAGCACATTGAATAACTTATTTCATTCAAGCAGAACTCTCAAGAGATTCTCTTAGAGGGCAATTTGTTTTATGCAGTTTTAAAAAATGTCCCCCTCCCGTTATTTCTTTAGTGTTAATTTTAATGGGCAGTTTCTTTTACACAAAGAGTTAATATTTTTAGTAGTCCTTTTCTCCCAGAAACTATTTTTTTCTTGATGATGTCTGAATTGTTCCTGGTGGAGAGGTTTTTAGATGACTTTTCACCAAGAGCTTGTTTTCAAGCCAATGAATAATATAGATCAGTTAAAGGTACTGTATAATCTGAAGTGTGTTTCTTCACTTTAACCCAGTCCCTGAGGAAGGTGTAAATTTTTTTGTTACCATATAAGGAACAAATGTAACCTTTTGCTGAGGAGAAGCAAGAAATGTTTTTCAAGGTCAACAGATTAAAATAAATGTGAAAAATTAAATGCACTAATATAAGAGCAGTGTGAAATTTATCTTCAACAAATTAGCCTGAACACAAAAGGACAGTTCAATAATAGGTAATTTTGCTTTCAGCAGAATTTAGAACAAATAGTTTTTTTTTTTTTTAAATCTCTGTAAAGCCTTTTTTTTTAAAAAAAACAAAACAAAAAACCCCCCCAGTTTCTTTAATTCTGGGATTAGGTACGCAGTTCTCATCAGAGGTATTTCCAAAGTTTTTTTTTTTTTGCCTTTGTATATTGTTGCTCTATCTGCGGAAACTTTTGTCCACATATATAATGTGACATTGATTTGGTTAGAAAATAATGCATTTGTATTATTGGGTTCACACATGCATTTCAAGGTTAAAACAGGCAAGACAGTGATCTTTCAATCTAAATTAGGAAACTAGGTGAGGTAGAATTTCGTGTTTTAACAAAATGAAAATGTATGACAATATAAAAAGCTGGTATAACCAGATTAGTAGCTTTAGACATTCTGGGCACTTTTTCAGCCCTGTAGTTACCACCTTAAATTGTTACCCTTTTCTTCTCTTACGCTTGTAGGAGAGGGAAGAGAAGTGGAGTACTTGTTTGACTTCACTGCTGTTTATTGTTTATATAATGCACTCCATTGAATTCATTGCTCTATAGGGCAGATCCATGACTAAGTTCATTCTCTTCAGGAACCTGCGTTCCAAGGCATCATTATTTACATTACATTCATTCAGTAGCTTAGTAGTGTTGTTTTTCATAGATCAAGAGGATGCTGTGAGTAGGGCAGGTGTTTTAAATTGTTTTTTTCAGCAGAGGTGATGAAATTGCATTGAAATGATTTCCTTTGCTCTGCTTTTTTCTTTTGGCTAAATATTTATGACCCAGTTTAACTACAAGATGGCTGGCTGGGATTCAGGGTGTGGTCATGGTCTTAGAAGAGTGTTACTCTGTTCCTTCCCTGTCCCCCATGTAAATATGGGGAGTTAACTTTGGAACCTTGGGCTTTTTAAGCAGTGTTCTGTAAGTGGAAAGGGCTTAACATGTATCAACAGCCTTAGTAGATTGCTTTGTGCCAGGCACTTTAGAGTCACTGTTTAATTTGATAAAATAGTGCAATCAGACAGATGCTATATCCTTATTTTATAGGTGAGGAAACTGAGATTTAGGCTAAGTAACTTGTCCATTGTGACCTGGCTTAGAAGTGGCAGAGTTGTAACTCAAACCCAGTCTCCCAATTCCAAAGTTCTTTTCACTACATTTTACTACTTAATGACTGGCTATAAAATCACCACAGCTTCTGTATAAATATTCCACTAACATTGACCCTGCTGCTTGATATGCATAGTTTTTCTATAGAAGTGTTGTTTTGCATGAATACATTCATGATGGGTTCAGGTTTATGATCATTTTGGTACTGACTCTCATCTGTCTCACCTCTCCCACCATAGTACATTCAACAAGCATTTTTTTTAAAAAAGCAGAGGCTTTGTCCTCCCAGCAATATGTTAGGTAGGGTAAGGGAAAAATAATCCTTTTTTCTTAAAGAAATTAAAATTTAATTGGGAAGAGCAAGATAGATAGAAATCCAACAATTATAGTGTCCTAAGTGCTATTGTGCAAGTATGCAAAACACACCAAGGAAAACACCTGGTAGGTATCTCAGTGATCTTTGTGCTGAGTAGTTGTTGTTGTTATTTGCCGTTGAGTTGGCCCCGACTCATAGTGACCCCTCCTTGGGTTTCCGAGGCAGTGTCACTACGGAAGTAGGATTGCCTAACCTTCCTTCCGAGGAGTGGCTGGTGGGTTTGAACCACCAGCCGTCTGGTGAGCAGGCAAGTGTCTTAGCCACTATGCTGCCAGAGCTCCCAAGTAGGTACCTGGGTAAGGGACCTTGGAACTGGCCATGAGGCTGTGGAGCTCAGGAAATGCAAGAAGTAGTATGACTAGGGCACGGGATTTTGCCCTGGGGACTGGTGGCAGATGAGGCAGGCACTAGATCTTCGAGGGCTTTCAGGAATGCTTCAGAGTTTGAACTTTCTCTGTAAAGGTATTAGAAGCCTTTGAAGGATTTTAAGGGATTAGAAAATTGACTGGCAAGGAGGAGAGGGTGGCTTGGAAAAAGGTGGCTGTAGAGAGGGAGACAGGAGGCTGTTGCTATTTAGGAGTGAGCCAGTAGTGTACAAACCCAGGCAGTGGCAGTAGGAATGGAAGGGGAGCAGACACCAGCAATGTCGAGTATCTCTGGCGGCATCTCTGGTAGCATAGTGCCTAAGGCACTTCACTGCTAGCCAGAAGGCTGGCGGTTCAAACCCACCAGCCACTCCTCGGAAGAAAGATAGGGCAATCTACTTCCGTAGTGATACTGCCTCAGAAACCCAAGGAGGGGTCACTGTGAGTCGGGGATCTGACTCTACGGCACATAACAACAACAGCCACTCCTCGGAAGAAAGGTTGGGCAATCTACTTCCCTAGTGATATCTCCTCCGAGAACCAAGGAGGCGTGGCCACCACAGATCTGACTCGCTGGCAGTGAGTTTGGTTTTCTTTTTTTTTTTATGTTAACCCAGTTCTAATGATCAGTTTGATGTGAAGAGGATGGGGGGAGGAGAAAGGGCAAAGATGATTGCTTGGGAGCTGGATTGGGAGTGGGATACGGAATTCTAGATTGGAAGCAGATTTTGGAGAAAGCAAATGAGTTTAATTCTGGAACATTGACTGAGGAGTCAACATGGAGACCCCCACCCTGGCCTTTCTACTCTATTGTCTAACCCTTTGACCTTTTCTTTCTTTGTAATAGACCTCATGACCTAAGCTGGCTCTTTATAACCAGAGATTCTTCTCCCTTAAGCCTGGTAGGATGTGGGTTGTAGTCTCTCCAACCCCCCTTCCGCTCCTCTGTTCACTTTACAGAAGAGACAGAGGATGATGATAATATTAGCTGACATTTATTGAACTCGTAATATGTGCTCAGCGCTTAATTTGCTTAGCAAAATTGGTTTTGTTGTTATCACTATTTTACAGATAAGAAAATTGAGGCTAATACAAATTAAGTAATTTGTGGAAAGGTACACAAATAGTAAGTGATACAACCTGGATGCTAGTTTAGAGTATGGTCCAGAGTTCTTAATCCCTCTACTAAACCATCTGCAAAACAAAGATAACCTGAGCAAGTTGCAGTGTTTACAGTGTTCTTAA